CACACTGGTCCCCCTTCTAGTGTTTTCTGTGACAGCAATAGCAAAAGTGCAGAGCTGTGCAGACAGTGGAGTAAATATGCCAAAACAGTCGATCTCACCTTCTCCGGATCACTCCATCACTCCCTACAGAGACTTTCTCCTGTTTGATTTGCCTCTACCTTGAATTAATTTTGTGTCTGTTCTTCATCTTTATTGTGTCCACCTTTTATAATGACTTCAGACCTCCCCATGTTTTGTTTCTTGCCAGGGAGTAGAACAATATACCCATTTATCACAAAATATCCCAGTTACCTTCCAATCTTTACTGTCTCCTATCTATCTGTAAAGTCCTTAGATTATATTTTTTCTAACATCCCCCTTCTGTTTTCCCTAAAATTACTAGAAAATTCCATCCTTATCCTTAATTTTTCTTTCCTGTTTTCTATTATATTGACATGTAATAGCATATATGCACTAAATAAATCATATTTGTATAATCAGCATCACATAATTTGCCAAAGAAACTTGATAGAACTGAAATTAAAGTGGTTTCATTACTATCTTACTATATTTAACCAAAATTTAGTTATAATATGTTATGAAAGAAAATCCTACAGAAAAACCAGAACCTTATAGTTTGCAAGTTAGTGGTTTTGACTTTGTCATAGTCAGATGGATTGGGGATTTATATGTGTAAAATATTTTATGGAAATGCTAATAAACCTAGGGTTGTTATTTTCTTTATTCAGAGCCTCAAACATGTACTTTGAAAGACTTTCTTTGTGCAAATGGAGACTGTGTTTCAGCGAGGTTCTGGTGTGATGGAGACTACGACTGTGCAGATGGCTCAGATGAGGTAGGCTTCTTCCAGGAAAAATATTTCTTTAGAAAATTAGTAGCTGTAGTAGTCGGGGTTTTTTTGAAAATAAATTCCCACATATAAATATTTTTAAATATCAGCAATGAGAATTCTACACATGAATCCATACGTGCAAATGTCTTCAGTAAATAAAAAACGAAACCTACTGAAATATCTTAAGAAAACACACAAATAAAATAAAATCCTATTTAACCATAGTCTACATATTTTTGGCACAGCTGTGATCAGGACCTCTTCCTATCCTGGATGTATTTTGTGTCGTGGTTGTGGAACCAAACTTTCTGCACACAGAAGGGGTTTAGTTTAGTTTGGTTTGTGGGTTTATTTGAGGAAACAATGTAGACTCTTTTGTAGCAGAAGCTCACTGGAAAATGCTTTGCTGTTTTTCTGTTCTTTCCTGTCCCTTCTCCTTTCCTGCCAGTGCTGGACCTCAGATGCTTCCTACATGCTTAGAGGGTTCAAACCACCTTTCTGGAATATCTACAAATACATTTTATTTCACAGGGCATTAATGTATGTCATAGTATGAAGGAGTATAGGCTGTAACTTCTTTGATTTAGCTGTATATTTAGCAAAGTTTAATATAAGCTTTCCAACTCGTATGCACATTGTTTTATTGTACCAGAGGTATTGTGAAACAGGCTGTTCAAGAGATCAGTTCCAGTGTTCCAATGGTCAGTGCATATCAGCAAAATGGAGATGTGATGGTCATGAAGACTGCAAACTTGGGGATGACGAGAAAAATTGTGAACCAGGTATTGTTTTTAAATATTGATGAGGACTAAAATGAAGCATGGAATAAATCAGAATGAACGAGGAGAAACTAAATCAACAAATCAAGATTCTTTGTGCACTAGGAGTAGGGGAGGAGTGCAAATAAGTCTGAAATAGTTTTGCTTTTGAATGCATATCATTGTGTCATACTATGTCTGGTTTGTAAAACCTACTTATATACAGCTATTCAGTATGAAGCTTGTTGTGGCAAAGGTATTTAATTTAATTATATTGAAATAGAATTTGATAGTGTATACTCAGCTTATAAAATTCTGCTCTGAAAAGAACAGTAATTCTTGGCATGTTTTAAAGTGTCTCTGAGGATTTTTTGCTTTGTGGTGCACATAAAATTTTTAGTGGTCCTTATGCAAACAGTTTCTCTAGCAAATTATTATTTTGTTGTTGTTTTATTTCCTTACTACTGTATAGAAAAATGCAAAGATCTTTTCACTAGCATTATACAATTTACTTAGGTTTCAACAATTCGGTTTTGTCAGATATTTTATTGTAGTTTACAGATGTTTGGAAAAGGTCTGGTCAGCTGCAAATACATCTTTGCTCACTATGTTAACTCAATGAAAACATTAAATTATAAAGCAACTTATTTATAAATTGTCTTTTTCTTAATGCTGAAATATGTGTTTGTAACCAGCATCTCCAACCTGCTCTTCAAGTGAGTACGTGTGTGCAAGTGGAGGCTGTATTTCGGCATCTTTGAAGTGCAATGGAGAGTATGACTGTGCTGATGGATCTGATGAGGTAGCTGACAAATTTCCTTTGATTTTTTTTCTTTCCCCCCTCCCTACCCTCAGACATGAAATTTGTTAACAATTTCAGATCTGAAAATAATTAAAAAGGAAGATGGTGGGGGGTTTCTTCATCCATTGAACCCTGTCAGGTAACTGAGCCCCATGGTTTTGGTTCCCTGGTAGTTACACTACATTATGTTTGTTTGCCCTGTGGCCACCTTTTGGAGCAGTCAGATTTGTTTCCTCTGCGTCAAAACCTGAGCATGGTTACAAGGGAGGTTTCTACTCCTAATCAACATGCAAATGAGCCAGATTGCACAGACTGTGCTCATGTCCAGGGTTGGTTCTCTTAAGGCGGTTGACTAGAAATGTAAATTCAGCCATTGGTTCTATTGCTAATATTAAGCAAAATAAATAAGTAATATCAGAACATATATAACATGGTTAAAATTTCAATTGGACTTCAGTAAATATTTAAACTGCATATTTCATTGTCAGGGATGTCTTTATTGTAATAAATACTTAGGGCAATAAAAAAGTGTTGGTAAATTTGATCAGGTTTGTCTTAGGTATGTTGCTGTTGTAATTCAGTAATGCTCAGTTCACATCTGTATTCACACAGATGGATTGTGTAACAGAATGTAAAGAAGATCAGTTTCGATGCAAAAATAAGGCCTACTGTATCCCTGTCAGATGGCTTTGTGATGGGATCCATGACTGTGTGGATGGCAGTGACGAAGACAACTGTGACCAAGGTGAGAGACACTTTCCTTAAAAGGCTTGCTTTGCTGGGTTTTGTATTCACACACGTTGTGAGTTAGTGGTACCGTGGCCGTTCCGAGTCATGAAATGAAGCTCTGTGACCTCTTTCAACAAATCCGGTTTAGCAGCTTCACAAGCGATTTGCAGGACGAAGCAAAACTTAGATTGTTTGTAACTCCAGCTCATTGTGCCTTTGTTGCATTTCCTTCCCCAAAGACCAAAAGGTTATGTTGTTATAAGAAGCATATTCTTTCTCATCAGAAAAATTGGTAATAAGTCCAGTTAGTTTACAGTTTTATAGGCAACAGTAAATTACAAAACCATGCAATATAATGAAAAATTGCTGAAGAAGTAATCTTAAAATCCCAGTTTTCTCTTTATTTCCATGGAGAAGAAATGCTGAAACTAACCAGAACCCATTAAACCACAATTTGAATTTTTGCTCTCCTTAGAGAGAGTTGATTGACATGAAGCTAAACACTTATGTATGTATACATACATACCCACACATAGATATATGCAAAATTAAACATTATTAAACAAGTTCTCCATAGTATTCCTGATGAGGGTAAGACCATGCAAAAGTCTTTATTTCTGATTTTTTTTAAACTGATCCTTTTTTCAGCTACCAGACAGGAGCAGTGTAACTGCACAGGATTCTTAGTAAATGTAGTAAATCAGTAATTGTCACAAACACAGAACTTCTCACTCAAATGAAAAAAATCATTTTAAAAAGCAAAATTTTACTCATCATTTTGTCAGATTCATGTTTTCCCCTGATTTTTTTTTTTTCTTTTGAAGTGGTAAGTTGTGTGTATTAGTCATCTACAGTCAGTTGATGTGTATAACTTCAAAGGCATAATGACGTACAAAAATAAATGATAATAATCAGATGAAGCAAGCAATTGTGGAGTAAAACATCCATCCCTTGTTTTGTTGTAAATCTGTTAATCAACACTTACCACTATGAAAAAAAAATATGAAATTATTAATTTTGAAAGAAAGACCAGAAAATTATGAACATGGGAAGAATCTTCCAGAGATATTTAGATGCAAAGAGAAAAATATCATATCCACAAGTGTTGAAGAATGAACTGTTTTAAGAAGACTGAGATAACAAAGTTGTAAAAAAACTTCTAGTCCGTTTTAAAACTGCTTTTAAAATATCTGGACTGTATCTCTTTAAAACCCAATGCAGTGTAAGTAAGTAGTAACGTGCTTATTGTATCTGAAGCCCACATTATTCTTTGGATAGCATAATGGAGCTTCTGTGAACTGCAAATTGCTTATAATGCAATAAGAAGCCTTTTGCCTAGTTGGTTATTGCTATAATACTTTGTTTTTATGTCACAATTATGATTTCTGTTACAGAAATCTATTCTATAAAGGAATTATGACAGGCAGAGCAATCACATGAAAAAAATGCCAGTTTATCTTACTGATAACTAATTTTTTCCTCTTTGGAAATACTGCAAACACAAATGGAGTTTTATTCTACAACATGCTAAAACAATCTCCACAATATTTATCTGTAGCCCACTGTGCATATTTATAAACATAGCTCTTTTCAATCTTATTATACAACTAGAATTATGGGTATATTGTGATTACACACACAATTATTTATATTCATGTGTTTCATCATGAAGAATACTTGAATTTTATATGTTTTTGCTTGGATAATAATAAAGACTATTTTCTGTTAATGTTCCTAAGTTCTATTTGCAATGGGAGTGAATTGCATTTAGTAACTGTGAGAGTTCCCTGTGCCCTCTTGCACAGAGGGTATGTCATGCAAATTAATTTTCCGGAAAAAAAAAAAATTAAACTATTCTGAACCTTTTATAGCAAAAGAAAGCTTTCTGTTGATTTTAATGGGGTGTGAACAGGGCACTGAATGAATAAGTAAAAAGCCGCTGGAGCCCCATCTAACTATTAGGGCGGATGTAATGCATGGAGGTAAGCCACAGTGAGAGTTTTGGTGTTATCATATAAAATTTCATTGTTTCCTCCTCTGCAGATACACAGCCTTATTTCTTTTATACTCTGCACTTCTCCGGGAACTGAAAATCCAGTTACTATAGAAATGTGTTCCATGGAAAATTAATTTCAAGAAGTTTCCATAACTTCCTTGATTAGTACTGTTTGAATTTAATCATAATTTTGAATCAAAATGCCTTCTTACTGCCTCACATTGAAACTGGATCCAACTTAAACTGATTTTTAAAGCTTCAGCCCTCCAACTTAAAGCTGAAGAATTTATTCTTGCTGCATTCTGTGTTCGATAAATATCCTAATGAGAAATTTCAGAAGTTACAAAAAGGAAGAGACTTAGAGGTCACTTAGTCTTATCTACCCTGTGCCTACATGACTGGATCTTCCCTAATTACGTAGTTGATGGGGATGTTACAAGCCTGGCCAAGACTATTACGCCTCAGGAAAAGAAAAAGGTGCTACCTCATGGCTAAGGGACTGCAATCACTTTGTCTCTTCTGAACACAATTTGTGGCTCAGAGAGCGGGAGTAGGAATTTGTGGAGGATCAGAAATTCATGTGAAGCAAGCCTGGACTGTAGAGGCCTTTCACAAGATTGAACATATTCCTGTCTTCTGGTTTATACCATTCTCTGATAGTACTAATTGCTGATGTACCCAGCCAGGCCTTTTCTGAAAGGCAGCATCACCAAGGGAAGTTACAGACAGAAAGAGAGTTTAAGCATCTCCTTCCTAACTGGTGAGCTGTCAGTGTCTTTGATAACTGCCCTTTCTAGGCAGGCCAAATAAGTAATTGATAGCTAACAGTCATGAAAAGAAAGTGAAAGAAGTGTATGGTCAAGAAAGAGATTTCCATCTGCCTTTCCAACCCTTTCATTTGGGATTTGTCCATGTCGTTATGTGTGTCATTCTCTGCAGATGGTATGTGATAAGTGGCTGTGCTGCTTTTATCAAAAATTGACGTTCTTTCCTTTCTGTTTTTCTGGGGGTTTTTTCTGTCTTCTTTTTATCCTTCAAGGAGGAAATATATGTAGAGCTGATGAATTTTTGTGCAACAATTCCCTCTGCAAATTACACTTTTGGATTTGTGATGGCGAAGATGACTGTGGAGATAATTCTGATGAACTTCCTGAAATGTGTGGTATGTCATTACATTTTTTCAGTGCTTTTCATGCAATAAAGCAGAAAATGACATGTAACATACTTAAATATGTGAGGACACATGCATCTAAGTTTTCTTTATTTTACTTATAGCTTGAAATGTGGGATATGTTTTTCTGTTGTTATTGCTATTCATATGATTTCAGATAAGATATTTGTGAGAAATTAATCTTTTTTGTATGAAAAGCGCAGATGGGAAAAAGTTACTTTTACATTGAAATACTGGTCATCATTAAACTTCCTACTTCCTTTGGTTTATTCCTGCCACATTTACTGATTCTCAAAAAGAAATGTTATTACCCTTAATTATGACACAAAATTATTTCATTCCCTAGATGAAGAACTTATACTGTAAACATTGTTGAAGTGTTATTCCATTAGGTACCAGAAGTTAAAATCAAGTACCATTCATGTGTCAAGTGCAGCTGTGTTCCCATGTCTGATAATGCTTTGATAAGGAGGTGTTAAAGAAGGTTCAAGAATACTAGCTGGGTAATAGCTGGTTCATTGTTTTTTTTAATATACAGTAAAGTTTCCATGCCCTCCAACAAGGCCGTACAGATGTAGAAACAACAGGGTTTGTCTGCGACCTGAGCAGATTTGCAATGAGGTTGATGACTGTGGTGATAACTCGGACGAAGATCACTGTGGTAGGTGATACTACCTTTCAGGGCATTCAAATCAAAGAAAACAACTTGAAGGCAAACTTTGTTACAGAGATCTGCTTGTTCTTCCATAAAGATTATAACTGGAGTTTAGCAGATCAGCATTTGAAATTGAAATAAATTAAGCTTGAAATAATTTCCTGTTGCTTAATGCTTTGTGGTCATTCCCATTTGTTTGTGTCTAAAATAATCTAAGAATCTTAAATACTGATTTATTTTTCACTATTAATTTGTAATTATATAGATAAAATCACATATAAAGCAAGACCATGTAGAAAAGATGAGTTTGCTTGTGATGATAAGAAATGTATTCCAATGGAGCTACAGTGCGATTGGTTTGATGACTGTGGAGATGGTTCAGATGAGCAAGACTGCAAAATAAGTGAGTTTGGCTGACCAAATATGTTTTTGTGGTTCTAGCAGAAAAGAAATAATTAACTGAGGCTGTCATCCATGCAAAACCTACTCAACAACACAGAAGTTAATTAAGTGGGGTTTTTTTAGTTTTTAAAAAAGAGTTCAAACATTTGTTCAAAATTCATCTGATACTCTTCTAACAGAAATGTGATTTTTTTTTAAATTTATTGTTGTTATTTTCAATCTCTTAACACTTTAAATAGATTTATTCATGGGTTTTTAGACATTTTGTTTGTGTATAGGTGTCACTGAATATACATGTGAAGATAATGTGAATCCTTGTGGAGATGATGCATACTGTAATCAAACAAAAACGTCCCTACTGTGTCAGTGTAAACCTGGATTTCAGAGAAACAAGAGGAATAGACAGTGTGAAGGTACAGATCTTTTCCGTCATCCCTTCCTGTAAAGTATTAAAAATCAACTGCATAGTCAAGTTACTGTGCTGGAGAAAAGAGATATGTATCACATACTTTTTCCACAGAGTAAAAACTTTCATAGCTATGGGATTAAGAAATCAAGAAAAGGAGCTGAAAGTTTTTACAAGATTTAGATATATGCGTTGTACCTGGAAAAGTTGTCAAAGATTAACATTGGTTGTGAATATTGAAAGGTTCAGGTCAGATCATTAAATGATTTTATAATTTAAGGGGTCAATGAGTGATTTAAGGTCTAGTACATTATTTAACTGAACAATTGTGGTTGGCATTCAAGTTGGTATATGAGAAAATTTTGAGATGCTGAAAATAACGACGATGCAAAGATACTTAAACAAAATGTAAGTAAAAATAAACAGATTGAAAGTACAACTCCTCAGAAAACGTAGTGTTAATATATATGGTGCCACACTGGTCAGCAAAAAATACATAATTGTTATAATGAAAGAGTTGATCATAAAAGATAAAATAAATCTATCTTCCCTAAGAATGGTTTGTGAATTCATTTTCTCACTGGTGAGCAGTAGCTTACAGAAAAAGTGGAGATCACTTCAAAGGGAGTGTCAAAGTGAATATATACTTGCATACAAATCTTTAGTGTTTGGCTCTTAAGAAAAAGGTATACACAAGAGCTTTTCCAGTAAGGGGTAATCATGTAGTTTTGACTGTACCAGAGGTAGGTATGATGGAGACAATGGTAACAGACATTTTTCATTCTCACAGTTGATTTCAAACTCTAATGATAATGGGTTGCTATAGAAGTTATGGAGAAACAATATAAAATACCATTCTGAGATATTTTGATAACAGAAGGAATAACATTAGGGACAGTTGCAGGCTTTTTCTTACAGTTGCAAGATGCATGAATGCTTACAAGTTCCTTTTGTTCATCTCTTGTTCCTTGATTTTACAAACATTAAATAATAGTGTATTAAAGTCTAAGTATATAAATTACAATTATTTTCCTCACAGATGTCAATGAATGTATGGTATTTGGTACGTGCTCCCAACACTGCAATAATATTAAGGGGTCATACAAATGTGCATGCGAGAAAAATTATAAGGAGAGGAATAGCAGCTGCATAGCAAAAGGTAAGGCTGTAAAATTCAAAATATAGTACTAAATCATTTGTTATGTACATGGTTGGTACATAATTCTCAAACCGCTCAGATTTACCTTTCAATTTGGTAAGCAGTAAATTCTTAGCACTTCTTACCATATAAATGAACATACTTAATAAGAAAGTCCATTTCCAAGTCCGGCTGTCTCTATTTACAAAAGGATATACACAAATAAGTAAAATAGAGATTATAAATTAGCAAGCATGTAAGTATTCTAGTGAAGCTTTAGAAGCTTTAGAGAAGGATCAACTCTTTCATAGAAATGTGTTTTAGAACTTTAGGAATAAAGTTAGTATTATTTGGAGTTAACATGTTTTGCTTTGTCTTGTTAAGAAATCTTACAGAAGCTATGTAGGTGGAGTTTTTCTAAGAGTAGTCACCTAAGAATATAATCCTCATAAATCAACTGCCTAGACCATGGTCCAGTGAAGGTAGGGAAATAGGCAGTCATTGATGTTATGTCTGCCTTTCGTAAGGCAGCGATATTGCACAAACTGGAGGTAATAATTCAGTTTGGGCATTATGATAACTGTTAAATACTTTTAGAAATGAAACAAGCAATAATCCAGCTGCCTGAGTAAAGTTAACATAGTCTTTACGGATCTTTATCTGAATAACTGAAAGTATGATCACAACATCTCACCTGCAACTCAGTGAGATTCTGGTCTGAATTTGACTTATACCCACACTTGGAGTCTTCAGTGCAGAATGAGGTTGTATCATTTAAATTCCAGTTCTTCTTTTTGTAGTGCACCAGTCAGTAATGTAGGTGCATCCATTCTGGGGAGTTAGGTGGTGATAATCAGGTTTCTCACACGTTTTGCTCACATTTCCATGGAGCAAACATACCATGGGAAGACCATATGAGTGAGTCATTAGTAATTTCCTCTATGGTTTACGAGGACTCTATCAGAATGTAGCATCATTGCCTATTACTAAAGATTATGACATGAGAACAAACAAGGTTACTAATTGAGGAGAGTAGCTTATTATTATAGAAACAGGGGTTATAATTCAAAAATCTGGGAATCATTATCCTACATCTGAATTTGTCGTGAGCCTCATTTCCATTATAATAGAGTTAATGTTTCCCTCTTTCCTTCATTGATGCTTGATTTAATGGAACTCCTCTTTCTTTTTGCATTTAGGAGGAATGAAAGAACAAATGATTTTTTTTTTATATTTCATAGTCGCAAGGAAGAAATATGTTGGACAGACTTTATTATAAGTTGATTCTCTATGGATTAATGTGATACGAATTGGAAAACTATAAAAATTGCAAATGTACTTTAATGTATCCAGCAAATTGGAAACTTTCTCAAAACTTAATGAATAGATACTAGAGAGCATTTTCTTATGAATAACATACTTTACAACATCTGAATCAAGATGGTAACTAGGTATCCATGAATACCTCCGTTTCACGAGTATCCAGAAATGTGCACTGTCTGAAATGAGAAGATAAGAGACAACTGCACACCTTCCATAGCAGCTTTGGTCCAGCTTGCTCATGTTGCAGTCAATTGCAAAACTTCACTGACTTCACTAAAGATAGGATCATTCCACTTCTAAATTCCAATTAAACAATTTAAAATAATGCCTATTGGCAACTTAGTGTTCCTTTAATATATAAATTTAGGACCCTCTAGACACAACAAGCTTATAAGTAGTAATTCATATTGGCTTAATGTATAATATCCCCTATTCTTGTGTACTGCGTAAAGTGTTCAAATTCTTACATTACCTGCTCCTACTAAGTATAGTCTTAGGTATCATAGTGAGAGCTTGGAGAGCACTGAAGTAAAATATAAGGGTATTAGAGTATGAAGAGTTGCATTTATTGCCCAGAGTGGGAATGTTTTTGCCATCTTCAACAGTCAGAACGTAATTTTAACATAAGAAATTATATCAGATAAACACTAAAAAACTATTTGTGAAAAACACTGATTTTATATTAGTTGACGTTTACCTTATTTTTGTTTCATTATAATAATCCCTAGGCACTGAAGATCAAGTTCTCTATGTTGCTAATGACACTGACATCCTGGGTTTTGCATATCCATTCAACTACAGTGATGTTCATCAGCAAATATCACATATTGAACATAATTCAAGGATAACTGGAATGGATGCGTATTTTCAAGGGGACATGATTGTTTGGAGTACACAGTTTAATCCAGGAGGGATTTTCTACAGAAAACTTCACGACAGAGAGAGAAGGCAAAGTAATAGTGGCTTGATAGTAAGTGATCAAACTCAAAGATTACATGATATAAATTTATTTTTATTTACTTTTCTGTTCTGATTGTCTACAATAACGTGCTGATTTAGTAAATGAAAATATCTGAGAGTGATTTTATTCAAATTATATATATGTCTACTAATGCCTTTTGATTCAAGACTGTCAGATGTCGTCGAGGCTGTATAACTAGGGTATTTTAAAAGGTTTTCTGCAGATAAATAACCAGTATTTAGAAAGACTGTATAACTGATGTTTTTTAAGAGAGAAAGAGGATATAATAGATGTATAGATGCCTTTCAAGAAAGGCATGAATTTCAAATCCTTGGAAAACAGAAAATGTAGATAGGCTAAAGACAAGCTTGATTCCTATATTGACCATTTAAACAATAATATTGGCAAACCTATGACGAATATTTAAGAATTAGAATAATAAGTATTTATTCCTTTATATTTTGAACTGCATTGTTCAACTTTTTTTGAATAAGCATAAATATAATTTTGTACTTTACAACAGAAGTGTGGATTTTTGTAATCTAGGGTAGTTTCAAGTCCTTACTTGAAAATAAAATAAATATAGATTGATACTCATTTTATCCAACACATTTCTACAGAATTCTTAAGGAATTGTTAGTGCTGATATGAAGACAACATTGTGATCTTCACACTGGTGCTTCTGTAATACTGTAAATTTAGGTTGGCTTTTTTTGGCTTTCTGGTGTTTTTCATTTTTGTAAGTTGGTGACAGAGGAGATTTTTTAATTTTTTTGTGGCCAGTAATAGATCAGGTTAGAAATAACGCCTGGCTAATTCCTTAAACTTAGGAGAGGTAACACTGATGACCTTACATCACAGAAATACTTCTATATACCCAGTAGAGTAAACAGCAGTAGCACTAGTAGACTAACCTTTCATCTATCATTCAGCTCTCACACTTCTGAAATCACTTCTAAGTACCTTTCATCAAAGAATATTTCTTTTTCAAACCAGTGACATTCCTGATCTTTGATGCCAGCAGGGCAAAAGGCCTGGGGATGTAGACGCCAGTGGACACTGAAGATACCTCGTGTCTGTGATGGCATGAATCTGGGAAGGGTGGTTAAAATACAGCACATCCACCTGCTCAGCACAAGAGGGTCTACATTTTGTTGACAGAAAGTGTATGTAAAGTAGATCCAAAGTCAAAAGTTTTTCTTAGGTCAGGTATGTCATTTGAGTTTTGGGGTGGCTTGTTTGAGAACCGAAGTATGTATTGAAGATGTGGAGTCATTCGACTGTGACATTTTTCTCATTTAAATGTGGCAGATACCAGTGCCTCAGAAATCCTGATAGACATGTCTCTGTACCAGGTTCATTATTAGAAAAATAACTAACTTGTAAAGTGAAATTGGGAAATTACAGTGTTGTGGGTTTTTGTTCTTATTTATTTTATTGCTTGTTTGGTTAATATGCAGATGCCTTCTGCAAGGATAAGTGTAGTCTGCTGACCCACCCACAAATTCTCTAATGGATCTTACATATCCATTAAATTTGAACATAATCTTCCTTGAGACTTCTTCATAGTCCAGGGGTCAAAATTTTTGTAGCTGCTTTGACATTGTCACCCTGTTTAAACTAATAAAGACAAAATATTATTAAAATTACTACTATTTTTCTGATGTGCTGAAATGCTTTTTGCTTTTCGTAGCTCAGTTTCACTGGTATGCATGCATACTTTCTAGTGACTTCCTCTTAATTCAGAATTATTTAAATTCTGTATTTCTTTATACACCTTTTTCCCTTGTCTCTTCGGTTCAGGTAGGTGCTCATGAACATGCTTGATACAAGCCATACAAAGCTGCTTTACAAACCACTATGTGGAAAATGCAGAGACTGTATCTGAATATATGTTGGACACATTTCATTTATGTTTGCGAAGCATTTACTTCTCATTGTGCTAAACTATTCAGAATATTTTCACAGCGTTATGTCATTAATACTCAAATATTACTGCCTTACATATAAGTGATCAGCAGGTTAATTGGTTTTACAGTGTTGCTTTAATATTGTCACTTAAATTTGGTTTTGAAAAGATTGAGAATTCCTTAATTTTAACCCAAGTTTTTTAATGGATAAGTTTTCAAAGGTTACGTCAGAGCTTTTATATCTAAACTTTAATATGTAAATCAGGACAGTAAACTTGAACAAAGTCACCTGCATTTCCAGGTAATTACATTAATGCAAAAATCCATCTCAACTGAAATTACTCCATGGAATTAGCATATCAAGAGCCTTCCTCAGAGAATAACTTTAAGTATCTCTCGTATTTTTCTGAGGAAAGGGGTTTAGGCTTTGTACTTTTTAAGCATTAAAGGAAATAGTAAATATCAACTCTTCAGAGTTTATTGACGGATGCAGAAGAGGATTGCATTCCAATCGATTTAAGACGGTATAAGTGAATTGGTGATAACTGGTGCAGCTGTTTACTGGCATAATCCTTGGAGAGAGATGTATAAGTTATCTGAGGTGAATATTCAACACAGAGTGACTCGCCACTTAAACTCAAGTGCTGTTTTTCATGGAAGAGGACACAAAGCTGAACATTAAAATAATTGTACCATATCATAGGAAGAAAAACATAGGTTTTGTAATGTATCCAGTCAGTATATTAGGAGCTTGCACCAGCCCCTCTGTTCTGAAAGCTTAACAAGGACCCTTAACCACCCTTGTTGATGCAGCCATGTATATATTCCCAATGTTTGCCTCGTAGCCCAGTAAAAATCAGTGTATCACTGTGAGTGGAAACAATTTCCATCCTGTTTTCTCTAAATAGCAATAATTTATGGGTTTACTTTGAAGTTATAGCTCTGTATGGATGAACTTTATGCACTTAGGAGAGCATCTCTTTCTGGAATCAGCTGGGATTTTTTTAAATGATGATACTTACGTATTACAAATGGTAGTTTGGAGAACCATTGCATCTACTGGGGTGCTTGTCTGTTGAGGAAAGTTTTCTGTTTCTGCAAGAAAAAGTCTGAAAGCTTTCTAGCTTTATTGTTTCTCATTTATTTTTACTGTTCTAGTAATGTATCATTAGATAACATTATTTTGAATGAAGATATTTTAAGCAACTTTTTTTTTTTTTTGGTATAGCAACGCTGTACCATACACGTCTGTAAACTAAATAGAGAAAATATTGCTTCACATGGGCTTATGATGTAAATTAGATTTGTCATTTCGTCTTCCCTGTATTAAAGTGCTAAGCATTTCAAGGTGATGGGTTCCTCTTGCATGTGTAACATATTTTCTCCAAACTCAGCTTTAGGGGTTGAAAGTTTTCCTGTAATATACCATAAATCAAAATGGTTTCCAAATCCAAGCTCTCCCTATAGCCTTTCTGTTTATTACTATTTGGTTTTCTATTTGTCTTTTTTTTCTTTTTTAATTCTTTAAACTGGTTTTACAGTGGGCAGCAGTTCAAGTTGTGATGTTCAAATCTGCTGTGGTCTGTAGTTGTGCAGAGACTACCATACTGTAATAGGCAATTAGGCTTCAGACCCCAATTTTTCTAGTAAGTTGTAGTACATTATATTTAGCATCGAAGTGGGCTAAAATAACTGAAGAAAATATTAATGTGATCTTGCTCCTGTATTTTCATCCCTGTTCTGTATGCAAAATCATTCTTCAAAATTAACATAATCCAAATAAGCTATTAGGTAAAACCTCATTTACAGTAAGTAATTTTCCTAGACAGTATGAGAGGATGCGGAAGACATCTGAAATATAATGTAGCAAGGTTGAAACTTAATGAACACAACTGAGAATTACATGCCATAGCATCAGCTAGTGTTTGTTATTCTCTTTTTTTTTAATCTCTTACTCCAGATGGCTGCTTTCCTTTTCTTCTGGTTATCTCCTTGTTCATTTGATCTTTAATATGTACCCCAGCATTACTGGGATCTTACTTCATGTATAGTTGGGGGGAATGAGAAAGGGTCAGTGTTACTCAATCTTGTTCCAGAATCTTTTTAGGACGTCCCTTTGTCTCATCTGCTTCTATTACCAGCTTTTTGGGAACCATCTCTCACTTTGCATGGTAACTCCCATCATGTCCTTACCAGGTTCCAAAAAACTCAGTCATAATGTAAACAGTGGTTCCTGAACAGTCTGAAGAAAGGCAAGGAACTGTGCTGTCTGTGGTAGCTGCTCTCCTTTTTAAAGAATATTTACTTCCAGCCTTGTAGGCCAGTGCCGTGAACGCTTGCAGTCTCCAAAGTAGTAACTGGAGTTCACCAGGTGCAAGAGGCTTCTTGACAAAGGTGCCTGAATGATACCCAGAATTAAGAAGAATTGCTTATCTGCAAATACCCACATTTTGGTGTCTCTTGTCCTTTACAGGAATGTTACTTGGATTATGAAACAAAGAAAAAAAAGAGGTGGTTGCATGCAAATGTTACATTTCTTGAAAAAAAAAAAAAAAATTTTGGTGATATTTCTGGAAGCGTATGCTGCCACAATAATCATTTCATATTAAAAAATTGATATGTTATTTTAACAAAAAAAATCCCTGTGACCCTGTTTGTAAATAAATACCGTTGTTTTTAAATGCAGTGATTTATTTTGTTACTTTGCTATTCATAAAAATATAAAATCAGGGTACTGTTTATTTGTAGAAGATGCATTCTATGACATTTTTCCAGAAGTAAAGGTTTATGAAAGACAAACTACCTAATTCACCCTTGCAGTCCTATTATTTAACCTAGAGAATGAAATGACCTTTATTTTATGATGAAAATAGTCAAAAAATGTCTTGGGGTGTTAGGGAACTCTGACATCTGAGGAAAAAAAGTTATTTTAGGATTTTCTTTCTTGATACTTAGTTATGTAGTTTAGTAGCATTCCATTAGTGCATTTGTCAAGGAATAGATATTTTTTGTTCATAATTTAACTTGATGTCATGATAGGTAAACAGGCAAAAAATTGCATATGTATTTAGCTCATGTGGGTCTTGAATTTTTTATGATGTGCTGCATTCATGTAAGAATTAGATGGGTAGTCTGATTTTACTCCTGTCTGTAGGACTTATAGTAAACTTTAAGGAAACTTGTTCCTGTGCTTTGCATTATGAACTTCTATATTTACGACCATTTTGGGGGATCTAGGCCTTAAAGATAACTGTGAAGTCATGATAGAGATGCTACAGTTTACAATTTTAAAGTTCTGATGAGTCAAGCCTCTCTTCCCTGTGAAGCTGAATATTGCACTAACTCTAGTTGTAATCAGTGGTGGAACATAGGAACAGTTAAGAGTAAGGGAAGAGAAACACTTCTTTACAATTGCCTAATAATATTGGGCAGAATACAGAGGTCATTGGATAGAGTTTTCTAAATGCAGTAGTTTTATTTGTCCTTGGCAGACTGCTGAGCAGCCACACCTCAGGATGGTCTCAAGCACTACTTCCACTGAAGGCTTTGGGATGGGACATTATACCATAGTTCTGCGTGGAGTATAATAGCTGTACAATCTTAATTCCTCCTTTTCCTTTGCTTTTGAATTACAGTATGTAACATATTTCCTTCAGTGTCAATAGCTCAAATAGTTCATGTCTAAGTGCCTTTTCCTTAATGTTGGGAAAACAGTTTTGAGCCATTGCCTTGTTCTTCTACATTGAATAGAACTGTCAGCTGATTAGGAGCTTATCACCTACAGGTGTAATTCATGTCTTTCCAATGCAGTGTTTTTAAGTATTTAACCATATTAAAGGTAAAAGTTACTTAACTGTAAAAAAATTACAAAAATCTGACTAACCAGCTGCTGCGAAAGGTCATTTCCGTAAATCTGACTTTAACATCTGTTCCTTTTAGTGTCCAGAATTCAAAAGACCTAGGGGCATTGCTGTTGACTGGGTTGCTGGAAATATTTATTGGACTGATCATTCCAGAATGCATTGGTTCAGCTACTATACAACTCACTGGACTAGCCTGAGATACTCCATCAATGTAGGTCAACTGAAAGGACCGAACTGCACAAGACTCCTTACAAGCATGGCAGGGGAACCATATGCAATTGCTGTAAATCCTAAGAAGGGGTACGTATGTTTCAACAATATTCTGTTTTGGTAATTCAAACAACATGCAAAGTAGAGTTAGAGAAATAAAGTTGTTTCTACAAATGTCTGAACTTTTCCAAGTTGTTTACTGAGCTTTCCTGCTCAATTTACCTGTATCAGGATCAGTTATCTCCCATCTTTCAGGTAGGTTGCAAAGTTCACAGTCATTTAATATTAGTGAATTGTTTTGAGGTTCTGCATAGTCATCCAGTTTGTTTTTTGTGTTCAACATTTTAGGATGATGTACTGGACAGTTATTGGGGATCGCTCTCATATAGAGGAATCATCTATGGATGGTACACTGAGAAGGATATTGGTTCAAAAGAATTTACAGAGGCCTACAGGTATACAGTTTATCCATTATTCCTAATTACGTGGTACTTGCTAACTCAGTGTAGATGACTGAATTTCAATTTCTCAGTTTGCCAAAAGAGTATTGTTAAAATATGTATTCTGGTTATTCATATGCAGTTGCTAATCAAAATTCTTAGTTCTATTCTCAAATGATACAACTTAGTATGACTAGTACTTTTGTAACAGCTTAACATGATGATTTTACAAAGCAGCACCAAAGGACTAAATATAATCAGTTAAAATATGATTTGTTCAGTAACTCTGAACAAGAAGAATCAATTAAGGGAACACCAGTTAGTGGCGAGACACACTTTTTAAGAATGCATATGAAATCTCATAGCCTATTCTAGTTACTTTCCTGAATACACTGCAAAATAGTATAAAATAAGGTTTAAGTATTCAAAGAAGCAGCAACTTAATTATCTCAGTATTCTACAGAACTATTTTGAAGCTTGACAGTACATGTTGAGATCTTGTGAATTACCATTAAGACTCCATTGGCAGGATAAAAGTAATTTTTATGACAAAGGAAATGATAAATCCAGAATGAAATGTGTCTGTCTCAAATAGCAGCATCCTGTCTTGAAACCATGAATGATTTGTTCATGACCCATTTTCTCATGCAATATTTGATGTCTCCAGGCTTACAATGATAATTTGTTATTACTGCATTGCAAATTAGGGGTTGTCCAACATTGTACCCATCTCTCCGCTGCTTGCAAGGGGATGCTGTCTGAATATCTCAGCATCTCAGAAGCTGCCATTATCACGGCAGCAAGTAATAATACTTTAGCAGACTGTTAAATCCCATGCTGAGGTGGACATAGGGTGTTGCATGTGCAAATTACACTCATCCCTTAAAGGAAACACTTTCTTTACTGACATGACTAGATGGAAATATAGCAACTTAAGAAATTATATGAATGATAAGGAAAACTGTGAGAAGAGGAAGCTTATGCTCCTAATTAAGTAAAAATCAAACATACATAGTCAATAGTAAATTAAGTAGGAAGCTTCTGATTATTCAGACTGAAAGACAAATTACATATTCTTTTCTGAACTTCTTATATATATGTTACGTATCAGATATACAAATCAGCAGAATTAGTTCTAATTGCTGGAACTGTGCTTTTTTTGTCTCTTCTTATCAGTCTGGTTGATTGCCAAGGTTATGTTCTCTGAAGTCAGTCACCACTTCCTTCATCACTAAAGAATTTGAACACTTTTTTTTTTTTTGACTATCAATATTGGATTAGTGAAATTACTAAATTCTGTAGGTAGCAATTTTATCAAACTTATCTGAAAATAAAAATTCTTACTGCTTCCCTGACCAGAAGCAGACCTGCTAGAGCTTTTCTTCGTAAAATTTTCCTTGATATATTTTACATATGAGTGTTTCCTCTGTCGTCTTACAAGGATGAATTACAGGAAAATTAAGAAAATTTGCAGAATTACCAAAGATGAGCAGACATTGCAAAGAGGGAATTTCAGAATGTCGTGACACAGTATTGCATTTTCCTTTACCTACTGTCTGAATACACTTTTGTGGCATCCTTCTGTGCTTTGCTTCCTTTACTTCATGGAAGAAAGTAGATGTTTAGTCTCTTTTTTTTTTTTTTTATTTTTTTTTTTTGTCAGATATTCCACACAGATCCTTGTCTTTGTAGAAGGAATGAAAATAAAGAGTGCAAGCCTTTTAATATTTCCTTCCAAATAAGACTTCCTACTATTGTTTAGCTGAAGTTTATGATTTTACTGACCTTCTGTGTTCCACTGCTCTTTAATTACTAAATTTACCTTTCCAATTTCAAGTAAGGGAGTAACAGTTTGAGCATTTGGGCCTGACTTCACAGGTTTTACATAAAAATTACCAAAGGAGTGTTATGTGTATAAAGCAACAATAAGTACTTTTTTTACATTGTGTTCTCTCTGATACAGTAAAAGATAAAAGATACATGGAGAATGTTAGTTATTTATTACATGATATTTAAATTTTCTTATCAAAATGCAAAGAATAACTTCAAGCTAGAGACTGGGGACTGCTGCTAAAATATTCCCCCTAACAGATACCATGTATCACAGAGTCGACACATTGTGATTATCTTTTACCAGAAGTTATTCTCTTTCGCTGTATGCTTTCATATGAGTGTTTCTTTTAAAGAGGTAGGGTTTTAACAGAGTTGCAAATGTAAACATACTTCAATGATCTATGCATCAGGCTTACTTCACTTCCTCTCATCTATCTGTAGCTGATTAATTTATGACCTTAAGAGGAGAATTTCTGCTGTTATGTATAATTTCCTTTGATGTGTTTTTTTTCTGACTTACCAACTTACATAAATAGGAAGAAAAATACATTTTCTCATTATTATTAAAGATACACCACAACTTCAAAAGCTCAGATCTAAATTATAGTTAAAATATTTTCTTAGGCTGAAGTTTTTGACATGACCTAAAATGGCATATTAATCATTTAATCATCCTCTGTGAAACATGGAGTGCCTGATTTAACTATTTAGCTTTTGCCTAGAGGCTGGGTAGTCACAATGTTACCTTTTATTCTCATTTATTCTCTCAGTCACTCATTCCTGTTGTTTCTTTCCATAGAACCATAGAATGGTTTGGGTTGGAAGGCACTTTAAAAACCATCTAGTTTCACCCCCTTTCAAGGAAAGGGACACCTTTCATTAGACCACGTTGCTCAAAGCCCCATCCAACTTGGCCTTGAACACTTTGAGGGATGGGGCATCCATAGCTTCCTGGAAACCTGTTCCAGTGCCTCACCACCCTCACCCTTAAGAATTTCTTCTTTCTGTCTAATCTAAATCTCAATTTAAAGCCATTGCCCCTTGTCCTGTCACTACAGGCCCTAAAAAGTCCCTGCCCAGCTTTCTTGTCAGCCCCTTCAGGTACTGGAATGCTTCTCTGAGGTCTCCCAGAGCAATCGCTTCTCCAGGCTGAACAACCTCAATTCTCTTAGCCTGTCCCTATAGAAGATCAGCTGCAGCCCTCTAATCACCTTCATGGTCCTCCTCTGGGTCCAACCAGACAATATCCTTCTTATGTTGGGGCCCCCAGAGCTGGACGCAGCACTCCAGGTGGGGTCTCACGAGAGCAGAGTACAGGGGCAGAATCCCCTCCCTTGACCTGCTGGCCACACTTCTGATACAGCCCAGGATACGGTTGGCTTTCTGGGCTGCCAGTGCATACTGCTGGGTTATTTTGAGCTTCTCATTAACCAGCACCCCAAGTCCTTCCCCTCAGGGCTGCTCTCAATCTATTCTCTGCCCAGCCTGTACTTGTGCTTGGGATTGCTCCAGCCCAGGTGCAGGACCTTGCACTTGGCCTTGTTGAGCTTCATGAAGTTGGCACAGTCCCACCTTTCCAGCCTCTCTAGGTCCCTCTGGATGGCATCTCAGCCCTTCTGTCAACCACACCACACAGTTTGGTATCACTGGCAAACTTGCTGAGGGTGCACTCAATCCCACCATCCATTGCCACTGACATAGATGTTGAACGGTGCTGATCAACGGAGCTTGAGGAATGACATTTATCGCTGGTCTCCACTGAGACATGGAGCTGTTGACTGCAACTTTGAGTGTGACCATCCAGCCAATTCCTTATGCAAGTGGGCCACCCGTCAAATCCATGTCTCTCCAATTTGGAGACCCAGATGTTGTGTGGACCAGTATCACATGCTTTGCACAAGTCCACATAGATGACATCGGTTGCTCTTTCCTTATCCACCAGCACTGTATCCCCATCGTAGAAGGCCACCAATATATGCAAATATATACATCTGTCAATATTGCCGTTTAAGTCTCGTAACACTAATTTAATTAAAATAATCTAGGTTTTAATTCTGTAATAATTACTACTTGTGAAGTATTGGTGATAAAAAAAGCAACACAATTATATTATTGTGGAAACAGGATAGGCTAGGAAAGCTCTATGAAATCTGAATGTCTTATTTTTAACACATGGTCACACAGGTGCTACCGCTAAGAAATCTATGGACATAATAGATTTTTGTTGGTAGAGCAAATTACAGGATTAGATCCTGTATTTAATCCCCACCTGGTATATAACTCTACCTGCTGAGGATAATGGGTTCGAAAAGGTACTGACCTTGGAAGAGGAAAGTAACGGAAGTTAAAGAACACAGTTGCCTCAAGGGGAAGGTTTAAGCAGAAGGTGTTGTATGTTATTCCCCCTGGTTTCCGTCATGTTTTTTCAGTGTCAACATACTTTGTGTTCACAAGAATAGGAATGGTATAAAAATGTATAGTTACATAAAATTTTTTTTCAGGTTTTATATACTTATTTATATACATACTTATATACATTATTTTCTTTGTAGGTCTTGTAGTTGATCAGTTCAGTCAACGTTTGTTCTGGGCTGATTTTGAATTATCTGTTATTGGCAGCGTTCTTTTTGACGGTTCTGATTCGGTTGTGTCTGTGAGCAGTAAACAAGGTATGGAGAGCTTTTCTATAACATGATTTCTATTTTATTTTATTTGGCAAAGCTTTCATTATTGAGATAAACTAGATAAGCTAAAAGCAGTGATTATTAAGTAATATTCATAGTTTTGTTAGATAATATTTCAGATATTATCGAAACAAATAGTTATTTAACATTATTTAAGTTAACTTTAGCCTTTAGAAAATCTGATAAAGTTACTTTAGGGGAAAAAGGATACAGTGCTATGTGCAAATCTCCAAGATTGTTATCTAATTATGAGTTCAGGTATTATCAAATAACACGAATAATATTTATGCTTGGCCTCACTTGGACTTACATAGTAACCGGAGGACTTTGACTAGCTGGGAATTACAGCTGTACACATAGCATAGGAACTGTATAGTATATAGCACAGTTGACCTGAGTCAGTTCTGGGAAAAATAATGGATTTGGCTTTCAGGTCAGTAAGTAATCACTAAATCCTCCTAACAGAATGTGAATGAGAACAGTTCTTTTCATCAGAAAAGAGGTTCTGGTTAAACAATAATTAAATTGTATGTTGACTTTTCAACAATTTCGTAATATATGTAATGATTTATTATATAAGTGCAAGGTCCTGCACCTGGG